TCACCCCTCAGCAGGCCCAGGCCCTGGGGATCCCTCTCACCCCTCAGCAGGTGCAGGCTCAGGGGATCACTCTCACCCCTCAGCAGGCCCAGGCACTGGGAGTCCCCATCACCCCAGTAAATGCCTGGGTGTCAGCTGTCACTCTTACCCCTGAGCAAACCCAGGTTTTGGAGTCCCCTATCAACTTAGAACAGGCTCAAGAACAGTTATCGAAGTTAGGGGTTCCTCTCACCTTAGATAAAGCCCATACCTTGGGATCGCCCCTCACCCTTAAGGAAGTCCAGTGGTCCCACAAACCATTTCAGAAACCGAAGGCTTCTCTCCCTACTGGGCAATCCATCATATCAAGATTGTCTCCAAGCCTTAGGCTGTCCCTGGCATCATCAGTTCCTACTCCTGAGAAGTCCTCTATATTGCCGATATCAAGGGTTCCCCTCAACCAAGGCCCCTTTCCCCCTGGGAAGCCCCTAGAAATGGGGATTCTTTCTGAGCCTGGGAAGCTTGGGGCACCACAGACTCTTCGTTCCTCTGGACAGACCCTGGTATACGGAGGTCAATCCACTTCTGCGCAGTTCCCGGCACCACAGGCCCCTCCCACCCCTGGGCAGCTCCCAATATTTGGGGCCCCTCCCACTCCAGGGCAGCCCTTTGAACTGGAGGCCTTTAGCTCTAGGGAGCTTTTCATAACTAGGGCCTCTCTGACTCCTCCGCCACCTCAGATGTCAAACGCCCCTCTTGCCCCCAGGCAGTGTCTTATAGCTGGAGTCCCACCCACTTCTGGACAGATTCCAAGTCTCTGGGCTCCTCTTTCTCCTGGGCAGCGCTTAGTTCCTGAAGCATCTTCCATCCCTGGGGACCTCCTGGAATCTGGACCCTTAACCTTCTCTGAGCAGCTCCAGGAATTCCAGCCTCCTGCCACTGTTGAACAATCTCCCTATCTGCAGGCTCCTACCTCTGGGCAGCATCTGGCACCATGGACCCTTCCTGGGCTAGCTTCTTCATTATGGATCCCTCCCACCTCTAGACATCCTCCCACACTCTGGCCGTCCCCAGCCCCTGGAAAGCCCCAGAAAGGTTGGTCCCCTTCTGTTGCTAAGAAAAGATCGGCAATTATTTCTTCTCTGACATCTAAATCAGCACTGATCCATCCTCGTACTCCAGCTTTCAAGGTAGCTCAAGTACCTTTCACCACTAAGAAGTTCCAAATGCCGGAGGTCTCTGACACTTTCGAAGAAACCCAGATACTTCGAGATCCTTTTGCTATGGAATCATTTAGAACATTTCAGTCCCATCTCACCAAATACAGGACCCCAGTATCCCAAACCCCTTACACTGGTGAAGGGGCCCTTCCCACTCTCATGAAGCCTACATCACTATCTTCTCTCACTACTCTACTCAAAACATCACAGATTTCACCTTTGGAATGGTACCAGAAATCCCGATTCCCTCCTATAGACAAGCCCTGGATACTGAGTTCAGTTTCAGGTACCAAGAAACCCAAAATAATGGTGCCCCCTTCCTCTCCTCAAGAACTTGAAGAAAAGAGGTATTTTGTTGATGTGGAGGCTCAGAAGAAGAACCTGATACTATTAAATCAGGCTATAAAAACTTGTGAACTCCCTTCACAGCTGCACACAACGGCTAGGACTCTCATAATTGAGATACTTCATACGGACACGGTTCAGTTGGGATACCTATTCCGCAAGTACATTGCCTATAGGCTGATCCAGTATGCCAGGTAGATACAATTATTATATGTCTAGTTTTCTGGTTTAGTTCTGATTGCAAATATTTTCTGTCATTGTCCCAGAAGTATATTCATATTTGTCAGACCATATGTTCTAAAAGACTGTCTTATATAAGGTCTATGAGAAGGAAGCCTGTTTAAGATAGCAAAAGGAGATATATTTTTTGGAAAATAAGAAATGACATATAACATGATCCATTTCATCCATATATATCTCCAGCAGAGAAGCCAAGTATATTTTGTGGATCATGGTTGGTCTCCAAAATATCAACTTCAAAAGTTTAGAGATGCTTTCCACTTATTCTGAATTTCTTTCATCATTTTTGGTTCACCAGAAATGTATGATTTTTAAAATGGGAAATAGCATAAAAAAGAATGAGACCAGGAATGGTGGCTCATGCCTGTAATCCCAGCACTTTGGGAGGCTGAGGCAGGTGGATCATTTGAGGTCAGAAGTTCGAGACCAGCCTGGCCAACATGGTGAAATCCTATCTCTGCAAAAAAATACAAAAATTAGACAGGCATGGTTGCGTGCGCCTGTAATCCCAGAATTACTTGGGAGGCTGGGGCAGGAGAATCACTTGAACCCGGGAGGTGGAGGTTGCAATGAGCTGATCGTGCCACTGCACTCCAGCCTGGGTGAGAGAGTCAGATTCTGCCTCAAAATAAAATAATAATAATAATAAAAAGAGATCCTGCCATTTGCAACAACATGGATGGAACTAGAGGTCATTATATTAAGTGAAATAAGCCGGGCACAGAAAGACAAACTTCACATGTTCTCACTTATTTGTGGGAGCTAAAAATTAAAACAATTGAACTAATGGACATAAAGAGTAGAAGGATGGGACAGGTGCAGTGACTCACATCTGTAATCCCAGCATTTTGGAAGGCTGAGCGGGGAGGATCACTTGAGCCCAGGAGTTTGAGACCAGCTTGGACAACAAATTGAGACCCTGTCTCTACAAAAAAATACAAAAAATTAGCTGGGCATGATGGTGCATGCCTGTAGTCCCAGCTACTCAGGAAGCTCAGCTTGGAGGATCACTCAAGCCCCAGGAGGTTGAGACTGCAGTAAACCAAGATCGCGCCACTGCACTCCAGCCTGGGCGACAGAATGAGACCCAGTCTCAAGAAAAAAAAAAGAGAAGGATGGTTACCAGAGGCTAGAAAGGGTAGTGGGGGTGGGGGGAAAGTAGAGATGGTTAATGGATACAAGAAAATAGAATGAATAAGATCTAGCAATTGAAAGCACAATGGGGTGACTATAGTCAATACTAATGTAATTGTACATTTAAAAATAACAAAGAATATAATTGGATTATTGGATTGTCTGTAACACAAAGGATAAATGCTTGAGGCAATGGATACCCCATTTACCCTGATATGGTTATTATACATTGCATGCCTGTATCAAAACATCTCCTGTACCCCCAAAATATATATACCTACTATGTACCTACAAAAAAAATTTTTAATGAAAAAAAAAAAAGGCTCACATCTGTAATCCCAGCACTTTGGGAGGCCGAGGCGGGCAGATCACGAGGCCAGGAGATTGAGACCATCCTGGCTAACACGGTGAAACCCAGTCTCTACTAAAAATACGAAAATTAGTCGGGCATGGTGGCACGTGTCTGGAATCTCAGCTACTTGGGAGGCTGGGGCAAGAGAATTGCTTGAACCCAGGAGGTGGAAGTTGCAGTGAGCCATGATTGAGCCACTGAACTCCAGCCAGGGAGGCAGAGCAAGACTCCATCTCAGGAAAAAATAAAAAATAATTTTTTTTTTAATTTAAAACAAAATTTTTTTATTTAAAAAAAAATATACAAGTAAATACAGGCAGGGTGCAGTGGCTGATGCCTGTAATCCCAGCACTTTGGGAGGCCAAGGCAGGTGGGTCACTTGAGGTCAGGAGTTCGAGACCACCCTAGCCAACACAGTGAACCCTCATCTCTATTTAAAAAAAAATACAAAAAATCAGCCTGGCTAACATGGTGAAACCCCGTCTCTACTAAAAATACAAAAATTAGCTTCGCGTGGTGGTGGGTGCCTGTAATCCTAGCTACTCAGGAGGCTGAGGCAAGAGAATCGTTTGAACCCAGGAGGCGGAGGTTGCAGTGAACTGAGATGGCGCCATTGCACTCCAGCCTGGGCAACGGGGCGAGACTCTATCTCAAAAAAAAAAAAAAAGAAAAGAAAATTGCCAGGCATGGTGGCACACACATGTAGTCCCAGCTACTCAGGAGGCTGAAGCAGAAGAATTGCTTGAACCTGGGAGGCAGAGGTTGCAGTGAGGCAAAACTGTGCCTTCGTCTCAAACAAACAAACAAACAAAAACAAAATTAAAAAACCAACCAAACAAACATAAAAACAAAGGGAGATGGCAGATTATGTAGGAGGTTGTTGCCATGGCAAATTTGCTGTTGGGGTGACCTGGAGGCAGCAAGCAGCAGGTCCTGGTCCTGATTTTTTTTTTTTTTTTTTT